ACATTGAGCGTGTAGAATATGCCCATGCCCAGCGCTTCAGTCGACCAAAATTGTTCTGCATTGAGGTAGCGGTTGCAAACACAGTGTGATCCGTTTCTTTTCCCTCATTTCTCTTCCTGTGCCACCAGAACACCACCACAAGGCCTCTTGCTTGCCTGAGAATGTCTTTTTCCGCAGCTCCACGAAACGCCGCGCTTCAAACACCAACGGGCCCCAGGAGACATCCTCTGGAAGTTGTCCAGCAATGGCATCCTGCTCGTGCTCCGATACCAGTTGTGTGCTGCATGATCAGGTACACAGCGGCACCGCAAGGCTGTGTGGACGGAAAACAATGGAAACCAACTAATCCTGATCAAGATCCTAATCAGAAAGATCCTTTCAAGCATGCGTTCCACCCACCTGGAGCTAGAAAGACCTTCACCTCTTGCTGGTTGAAGACCGTCCGTGGGAAATGGCCCAGGTGCATGTGCACTCACGCTGGGCATGTCCACAGCCGTCGGAGGCGGCCCGGCTGCATCCCTGCATGTACCCCGACACAAAGATGGGGTCACTGCTGCATGCAATGCGGCCGCTGGGCACATAACGTTCGTTGTGCATCTAGGGCATACCTGGCGCCATTAGCGCGATGCAGGGAGGATGCCGCAACAAAGTCCTGCAGGGATGTGGTCCGCCGATACTGCCGTGCAAACTCTGCAGCGTCAGCGTGAAGCTTGCCAAGTGGGTGGATAAAGAGGGTTGCAATTGCAGCGCATCCACTGCTCCGACCCACCTGTCCGCAGGCGAACCTCAAACGTCCAATCTTTTCGCATGAGGTACACCATGCCCACCCTAAATGAGTTGTTGGGCATCATCCACGCAAGCAGGGGGATCCACAGCGAGCAAATGCCGGCATAGCTTAGCATAATGGTGCGGTAAGCCGCCCTGCAGGGCAGGGGCAGCCAAGATACTTCAACAAGGGCCATCCTTACGGCCGGCTCGCTGGCAGGTCGGTGGGGGACGCAGTCTGCAACCCACTGTGAAGAACCCGAGTTCTCGAAGATGAGCATCAACAGATACATGACGATGCCACACCCAGTGAAGCCTGCCACAAAAACAGAGGCCACCAGGCCTCGGCTGCGTGGAAAGAGGGCAGATATGTGGAACTGGGCCAAGTGGAAGGTGATGTTTCCCAGGCCAAGCAAGATGGCCGCGGGGATGAAGGCATTGACGCCACCGGAGGAGGACACGCCAAACAGCACCAGCGCTGCCATGTTCAGGACCACCCCTGCAACAGCACAGCAGCAATGTGAGCGGGGCACGCAGCGGTGTAAAGGGTGGGTTCTAGGTAAGAACGTTATGCTGAGCATGCACGAAGGCGCTGCGGCCCTCCAACAACCCACGGCCACCAGGCCTACCCAGTATGCCTGTCAGCTTGGGCCCCAGGAAATCCAATACAAATCCCATGACCACGGGCCCACAGTTGAGCGTGAAGATGCCCAGCGTCCACAGCAGCTGTAGGCTGCTCTCCTGCGGCGTGCACACCTCGCCTGCATGGCAATATGCGCATGCATCCTTGCAGGGGCAGCAAGTCGGACGGTCCACCGAGTTCCATTGTGCGTGATGCAGGGGAAGCATGATGCACCCACTCGGAATCGCCCGCCATCAGCGATCGGCGGCGCTCACCTTCGGCCAGGTCGGAGCAGCCTTCATCAAAGTTGCCCAACTGTTGCAGCATCCCTGCAGGCCCGGTTTACAATGCTACGTGAACTGCGGTGCAGGCAAGGCACCACACTGGCGAGTCCAGCAAAAACAAGCACCGACAAG